TGAGATCCTTGCATGACCCTGCTGTCTCCAGACATGCTGGCTCCGGAGGCCCTTGGGGAGGGAAGCAGGGCAGGAGCCCGAGCCCATAGCCTGAGCCTGCCACGGGTGCAGATCTGGGGGGCATGGGTCTCCACTGCCCCCCGGGAGTGCTTGAGGCTGCAGGGAGCCAGCGTTCCCCTCCCCTCCCCTGTCCCTCAGACCAGCCACCCACGGCCCCATCCTGCTCCCCACTGAGGTCCTGCAGCCGCACATTGAGGCCCCAGGCCCCAAGCCTCACCTGGCTGGGTAGCAGCCTCAGCCCTGCTCAGCTCCTCTCCTCTCCCCCTCCGCTGGAACTGCTCTGCAGGCTGCCTGGGACCATGTGCATATCCATGCACTTGGCACCCTCTGTCTCTCTGCCTTCCTCCTGCTCCCTCCCAGCTCCCTGCAGGCTAGATCTCTGCCTGCATCATTGCAAAATGGCAAATCAACAGGTTTCTCTTGTAGAATGAGAAATCTGAATTTGCCTCTGGTAAAAGGTAAAATCCATGGTTTACTCCATTTTCCCATGGGAAACGGAAAACCTGGATCCCTGCTCGTAAGTCATGCTTCCCAGGCTTCTAATTATTTTTGTTGCTCTTTGGATTCTTTCCAATCTATCCATATCCTTTTTGAATTGTGGGGCCCAAAACTAGATGCAGTGCTGGAAGTGAGACCTCACCAGTGGTGATCGAGTCTAAGATTCATTCACTATTGGGAGGGGTCATTACAGTTAAATATAAAATGTGTAAAACAGCATTTTAGTAATTTCCAAGTAAAGAGTTCAACCCTGGGAAACCACAGCCAAGGGGCTTAAACCATAGATTTTTATACTTTCGAACAAATTAACCATTTACATTACTAGTTTGTATTCAGTTAGCATATGCATCTACTTACGTAATGAAAACAGGTGGCTGTTTATACAGCAGGTTTTTATATAAAAACATTGCAAAACAGGCATATGAGATTATTATTAAAAACTAGCCAATTGCCTGTCAAGAATGATG